TTGAGCTGTGTGTAATGTACAACTGGGAAAGAGAGCCATGTGTGAATGCAACTCACTTTTTTCTTGTCTTTTTCCCTAGAAAATACTAGATCTACGTACTTTCCTATACCAGAAGGTGGCTGTTGTTTCCTTGGACCCCAGAAGTTATGGGATGATCCTGGAGAAGGAAGTGTCACCAAGAATAATTGCAAGGGAAAACACATTAAATGTAATCCTCCTTTCCTAACTGAAATCTCTTTTCCTCTAAGCAGGCTTTAAAATAGAGGCTCTGACATGTGCTCACCAACGTAGTCATAGCCCTGTGTATCTCAACAAATGGGCAATGCCTGTCTTGAGGAATCCCTGCTGCATGCTTTAGTTTCTTGCTGTAGCTCCTCACTCATTCCCTGTTCAGCTGCTGTACTGCACCTGAATAAACAACAGGAGGAAAGACTGAAGGGGAAGCCCTCTAATTGCTCTTAATGGCTATATGTTTAGGCAATATTTGCCTAGTACTCCTAAGATGCAAGGGTTATATATCTACACTCAGTGAGTCCTGAAAACAGCACTCAAGTCCCTGAAAATGCTTTCTGTCCACTGAGGGTTCAGAAACTCCACTGATGTCACTGCAAATGGTGAGTCTAGTTCAAACACATGCTTACTGCACGTTGCCTCCAGTCTGTAGGCACAATTCCCACTGAAACCAGTAAAATTCCTCTCCACAAAATGAATGGAAGATATATGCAGCAATGTGATGCTGAGCTACATCACTACTTAGAAAACATGCACAGCTATTCAGGTCTGAGTTACAGCTCCACAATAAAAAGTCAAAGAGTAACAGTACCAGGAGGTTTCATGTCGCTATCATTTCAAGACCAGATAAGCTGAACACTAAAGCTCTAATGTTCGTATTTGGATGTGGGGGGTTCCTCTTGTGTCAGGCCAGAAAACTCAGCCTTAGCTTTGAAATTGAAACAGTTTTTTTCCTGTCAGCATCACTACTAGAAATAGTTGCCATGACTCAAATTACAGCTTCATTTACAGCTTTTGAGACCTCCTGCTTGCCTTCAGGAGGTATCCCTGACCACATCCAAGGCACCCTGTCAGTACCGGTGCCTCTGAGGAGGTGAAACAAACCAGAACTGAGCAAGCAGTTCTCAAAACAAGCAGCAGGATTTAGTGCTCTGAAACGTGGCTACACATATTACAAAGAGAAAAAGCAGTAGGGAAGCTCCCCTGTCACTTGTAAATACATGGTTTTTGCAAAAACTTGGCCAAAAGCTGTACAAGGAGGGAAGTATTTTTACACAGCCACTTTCAGACTAGAATTTGACCTCAAATTCCTGCAATACCACCCCAAAGATTCAACTTACCGTGAGATCGTGCCTGATAGCAAAGTTTTCTGGTTTGATGTCACACAGGTGAAGTCGGTGAGAGAAATCGTTATCAAAATGCTGCACCATGTCCAGAAAGCTGAGTGCAATGTCAGTGATGGCTCTCACCCTGCTTCTGTGGCCTACAAGGGAGGGACCAACCACGTTTTCCAAAGGAAAAAGAGTTTTGTGCCAGGCTTGTCCAGCTGTGAGATACTCCACAGCATAAAAGTGTCCACAAGAGCCAATAATTCGTAGCATGTGTTTGCTGAAGTCCTGTAGCAAACTGAAGTAGATATATTCCTCCTGCTGGAGCAAGGACCACATGCTGGCCACTTGTGCTTTCCAATGTGGTCCCTTCTTCCTTGTCCACAGGGGTCCCACAGTACTGTTAGACAGTTCTAGCCCCAGGACATTTTTGACCTCCAAAGCCACCATCAGCAGAAGTTCTGTTTCAGTAATATCCTGGGTTTCCAACTCCTCTAGCAGACTGAGATGCTGGTAGCTGGAGAAGATTTCCTTTTTGGATTTCAGGATGATGGGCTGGCCTCTCCAGTCAGCCTGGATGACCTTCTTACCTCGGTCGTAGTACAGGCAGTGTTTGTAGACCAGCTTCTGTGCCACACACAGGTCTTCACAGAGGTCACCAGTCAGGGCTCCACTGGTGTAGTCAAGGCACTGGAGTGGAAAAGCAAAATATTCATAGTAGGACCATACA